AGCGTTAGATTGGAAATTTCTGGGTCAGCATTTGTTCCCATTGGAATACCAATGATTTGCTTTCGAAGAGTGCCATCTCTAGTGTACAGAAAAGTGTTTTCTACAACAAAGCGAAGATGTTGGAGAATCTGAGAAACGGAAAGGCTGTCTGGTCCTGAATCGGTTGTCCATTGGCCAGAGCAAGGCCCGCGAATGAACATGTTCAAGGCTCTGCAGCGCGAATGCATGCGGGTATGCTGAAGAGCATAAGCATGAGCTTCATCAAYAGCCTTTGCCACATTATTCAAAATACGGTCATGAGGAAGGTTGGTGTATATTGTGGTGAAATCAACCGTGTGAGGAGAGAGGCCACGTAGAGAGGACACATTGTTTTTCAGGTCAATCGCCACCTCATCGGCACTCTGGACGATCCAGCACCGTCGAACACCTTCCTGTTGATAGAGCTCAGTGTCTTTCTCACGAAGAGTAGAGATCACGCCTTGCAAAGCAGTGCTGAGACAGGACGAAGTAGCCGTTGTGCTAGCCAAGGGTTTGTGAGGAGGCCGTTCATGAATGGTGCGAATAGAAGGACGAGAGCGAGTGCGTGGGGGGACAGGACAAGTATTATATATTGTCACATAACTATGAACTAAAAGAGTGCACTTTGTGAAACAAACGGTAAAGATAAGAAAACAAAACAAAGACGAGGGGCACACTGAAACTATTCATTTTTTCTCCTTCTTCTTTTAACTCCCCCTTCACTATGCCTCTCACGTATGAGGCTTGCCATTTGATGAAGTTGAGCGCGAGCTGCCCGCATCCCTGTGTGCCATTACGGCCCACTTGTACGCTGTGAGAAAAAATGCAGGGAAGAGAGATGAAGAGAAGAGAAACAAAGAACGAAAAGGGGAAAGTAAGGATACGAAAAGGCTCTTGAGTCTGTCCTTGACGACTGTGAGTACACACATTGTAAGGATGAGGTGGATGGGCACATGGAACACCTAGCTGAGCATTCTCAGCACAACAATTGCCACGACGGCTGGCATTGAGCATGCCCACCATACTGTTACATGCTGTACAGGCCCCAACCTGTTTCCCTACAGGGAAACTTCCAGGCTCTTGCCTGGAAGCTTCCTTCTGACAGGGCCTACAGGCCCCAGCCTGTTTCCAGGGAAACTTCCAGGCTCTTGCCTGAAAGCTTCCTTCTGACAGGGCCTACAGGCCCCAGCCTGTTTCCCTACAGGGAAACTTCCAGGCTCTTGCCTGGAAGCTTCCTTCTGACAGGGCCTACAGGACCCAGCCTGTTTCCCTATAGGGAAACTTCCAGGCTCTTGCCTGGAAGCTTCCGCAGGGTCTAGGCCAGGGAGGCATTGGCAAGAGCGGCCTCCTACGCATAGGGCATTGGCACGGCCAGCCTCCGGCACGGGCCAGCACTATAAAGGACTGGCCCGCCCTGCAGGAAAAAGGCAGTTGGGCAGTTGTAGTCTTCAGGATTTGGGAGCAGCACTCTGGAGGGAGCGTTGCGTTAGAGTAGTAGTAGCGTTATCTTGTAGTCTTCAGCGCTGGGCGCAGTAGGTAGCTGTAGTCTTC